CCCCCCAGAGCCCCCGAAGAAAGCCACATGAGACAGCGAATTCCACTTCACAAGGAAAAAGTAAAACAGAGGCCTGATGAGCAGCAGCTTGGGAAGGGATCGGCGCAGCTGGGAATGGGAAGGCTGTTTACAAGCTTGCAGCAGACCCGGGAAAAAGCTTTGATCTCTGCAGTCCCCGTCCATCCCCCCCAAGATCACTGCGCAAGACACAGCGTCCAGCAGCAGAGCAGTCGCGTGGTCCTCTCGCCACCAGCCCTGGACTTCCCCAGCACATGCTTGCCAGATCACTTTGCGATGAGACAGCCTGCTTTAGGCTGATACCACCGCTCGGAGGGGCTTCCCACCCCTCCACGTGGTCTGTGAAACGCAAGGCGGAGTGCTCCTGGCACACAGTGTTCACGTGGAGGTGGCTTCACCCAGCCTCCAGCCCCAGCCTGCCACTAGCCTTTGCTGCTGCGCCACTTAAAGTCTTTCGGAGTTTCAGGGTCTGCCAGGGGTTGTTGCGGCTGTAGGACATATTGGCCTGGAGTCACCGAGTACGCAGAGGTGACCACGGCTGTCCAAGACGCCAGCCACACCAAACGTGCAAGCCAGTAATGCACAAAAATGTCACCACTTTGACCCTCTTGATCTTCAAAGGTGGTGGGGAAAAAAATAAAGAAAATAAAAAAAGAGCGGAATCCTCAAAGTAGATTCATAGAATCATAGAATTGTCTAGGTTGGAAAAGACCTTTAAGATCACCAAGCCCAACCGTTCCCCTAACCCTGCTATCCCACCACTAAACCCTGGCCCTAAGCCCCTCGGCTGCCCGGCTTTTAAATCCCCCCAGGGGTGGGGACTCGACCACCTCCCTGGGCAGCCCATTCCAGGGTCTGACAGCCCTTTCAGTGAAGAAATTTTTCCTAGTGTCCAACCTAAACCTGCCCTGGCGCAACTTCAGACCATTTGCCCTCGTCCCATCGCCCGTTCCCTGGGAGCAGAGCCCAACCCCCCTGGCTTCCCCCTCCTCTCAGGCAGTTGTAGGGAGCGATGAGGGCTCCCCTCAGCCTCCTCTGCTCCAGACTAAGCAACCCCAGTTCAAGTAGTGGGACCTTGAATCCAGAAGCCAAGTGTGAGACACGCACAAGGGTTAGCTGCAACACATCCTGCTGCTTCCCTGCCAGGGGAATACAGAGAACGCAAATCTGCATCGTCCCTGACCCCTGCAGCCAGGGGTGGACATCCAGGGGACCATGCTGCCACGCAAAGGTGTTCTGGGGCATTTACCTCACAAGCTTTGATGTGCTCTTTCTGCCATTCTTCACGGATCTTCTCCAGCATGGTCACGCTCTGCTGGTAACCCCTGTCTGCAAGAGCAATCACGTTGTCATCCGGTTAACGTTAATTAAGAAAAACTCCTTTGCTAGAAGGTAGCATGTAAAATGGCCGGGGCATCAGGGAGAAAGCGGCAGCAACGCGTGAGCTGGGCTGTGTGTGGGTGCTGCAAGGGAAAGCAGAGCCACAGAGCAAGGTGGAGGGTCCTGCCACGGGGAAATGGTGGGAGCAGCCTTTGTGGGGCCGCATGGGCTTCTCCGGGGCAGGTGTCCACTGCCAGTATCCTGGGCACGTGTTTCTGAGGAGCCAGGCCTGACCCAAGAGCTAGAGCTCGCCCAAGAGCCGTGCCGTGGCTTCACAACCCCCTGCCCTGGGGAATGCTCCCCTTGCCCTCCAAACGCGGCACTTCCACACTCACCAGAGTCCTCCAGAGCCGATTTTGTCTGAGCCAGCTTCAGGAACAGCTGCCAAAAATGGGAGAGAGAAGAAAGGGAGAGGAGAGCCCTGGTGCATCACCAACAGCACTGCAGCCCAACTGGGGAATATCACAAACCCTCCTGTCTCATCCCAAAACCCAGAGCTGGGAGAAGAGCCATGGGGCAGGAGGGCAGCGAGACCCCCCCCTTTATCCCCCCTTCCCCACGGCCACCCCCCAGCTCCGTACCTTCTCCTGCTGCTTCTGCGTCACCAGGTTAGCGTTGCGGTGCACAGCCTGCTCCGCCTCGTCCTTATCCCTGCAGCGCTGCTCATAGAGCCGCCTGGCCTAGGAGAGCCACCAGACAGGGCAGGAGCGGGTCAGCAAGCCACAAGATGCCAACGCAGCTCAGGCAGGAGGCTTCGGAGCAAAGCTCAGCCTACAAGGCGGGCACAGGCTGCCAGCAGAGCAGGGGATGGCACACAGGGTCCTGGATGCCCCACTGCTGGGGCAAAAGCAACCTCGCAAGACAAGCTGCTCTTCGTTTAGGATGCAAAGCTCACGGCAATCGAGTCCACAACATCTAAATCACTCGCATCCAACCCGTAAGGCCACCACCCGCCGAGTCCCTGCCATACTCTTCAGTTTCTCTGAGCACACCCTCCATATCGCTCATGCAGACACGACGTCAGGAGTTGCAGCAGGGGAGGAAGACCCTCACATTTAAGTCTGCCCCAGCGCTGTGCGTGTTAGCAGCGTTAACCCATAAGGCAAGAAACAGCAGCGTGTCTGCTTTACCTCCATGGTCTTCTTGTACTGCAAATTCCTGTTTTTGTGAATCGCCTCCATAATCAGCTCTATCTGTGAAGAAAACAGACCCGGAGTCAGCACATCGCTGACCATCGAAGCTCCAGGACGGACTACGTGGCTTAGGAAAGGAAGAGGCACAGACCAGACGGAGATGGGTTTGAGGACCTTTGTCCACCCAAAGCATCTTCACAAAACCCATCCTTTATGCGTCTATCTAAGCCTCCACTTGTGTATGCAGAGTTGCTCTACAAATGAAATCTTAGCAATATATACTACTGTATCATCTCTGAGGGGTCTGGCGAAATTGGGAAGCCCACACCACTCTGCTAGGTCCAAACCAGTCACTGGTTCTAGCTGTTTTCCCTCGTTTTCCAGACAAAGGAGTCTCAAGCCAGAAGAAGTTACAAGGCTTGCCAATTTTATCAGACCCCATGGAGATCATACAGCACTATGTAAGTTTTAAAAACATTCCAGGTTGAGGCTGGCGTCCCTGGAGCTGAGCCCCTGCTATAGCTGGCCCCAAAAGGCGCCCAAAGGAGAAGATGTGGCAGTGAGAAGAAGGAAGTTGGAGGTTGCTGCACAGTTCACCAACACGGTTGCAACACGTAGGAAGGAGCTCAGGACTTCCTGGCAGCGGCAGGCACCAGGGGAGCTGGGGCATGGCAGGGGACACCAGCCGGGAGCAGCCCATGGCTGAGGCAGGACCAACACCCCGCGGCGAAGGCCGGTGCTCCCGTGGTTCCCTGACCTTCTTCCGATGCAGTTTTTGCTTTTCCCTGAAGTCCTCCATTTTCTTTGCTTCCTCCCGAAGGGTTTGCGCCAGCTGGATGTGACCTTGCCCCACATTGTCTATCTCTGCAAAGAAAAAAA